GAATTAGGGAAAGCACTGTGAAGGAGAGATGCTAAGACAAGTTCATCTGGGGAGCTGACCAAGTTAGGAGAGATGGGTGGCTTTCTGGGGGAAGTGGTGATAGGGCTGGGGGTTGGAATGCTGGTCAGGAGTTAGTGCATCTAGGAGGCTGCAGGGTCAGTCAGAATGGGGCAGCAGGCAGAGTGGCTGCCCACCGGGAGAGGAGAAGACAGCGAGCACGGGTGTGGGACCCACTCTGAGCCAGGTTACAGTCCGTCCCATACTCCTCACAACCCTGTGGCTTAAGTAAGTACCGTGGCTGTTTCTTATAGATGAGGAAACAGGCAGGAAGGTTCTTCTGTAAGTTGCCCAGTGTCACACGTACTGGTGGCAGCACTGGGATTCAGACCTTGATGTATGGGAGAAGAAGTGAGCTAACAGGTGGGCCCTAGATCCACGAAAAGCCATTGAAAGATTTCCAACAGGGGGAGGAAATGCTCACTCGGACCAGTGCTTTAAAAGGCCCACTCCGGCTGCATTGGGGAGAAGGGGTTGCAGTGAGGCAAGAACGGAGACTGAAAGAAGAAATAGATGCTGTAGTTTTAGTGCAGGCAGGAGGTGGCAGTGGTTGAACCACGGTGATGGCAAAGACACTGAGCTTATGGACAGGACCTGGGCATGTTGAGGGCAGAATGGATGCTGTTTTATTTGTGAAGGAGACGGAGGCGGCTCTGGGGCTTCCACTGGGCCATCATGTTAGACTTTGAACAAAGTTCCACTGCTGAAAATGAGTCTAAAACCATCTTGATGATCTGCTGGGTCCCCCTCAGTCCTTTACACAAATGGGCCCTAGAGATCAGCCTCTCAGCCCCAAATCCACAGCCTCCAGCTCAAGCTCACTTTCCTCATCTTACTTGCAGATTGACGAGATGCCTGAGGCTGCAGTGAAATCAACAGCCAACAAATATCAAGTGTTTTTTTTCGGGACCCATGAGACGTGAGTGAGGAGCAGAGGTGGGGAGGGCCATGGGCGGTCCACGTTGGAGGAATGGGTGGTTTTGGTGCCCCTTCCCTGTTGGGCTGTGCAGCTCAGAGGCAGTGAGGGGCTCGAGAGCACAGTCTCCCATCTCTCACCAGGGCATTCCTGGGCCCCAAAGACCTCTTCCCTTACGAGGAGTCCAAGGAGAAGTTTGGCAAGCCCAACAAGAGGAAAGGGTTCAGCGAGGGGCTATGGGAGATCGAGAACAACCCTACTGTCAAGGCTTCTGGCTACCAGGTGAGCTGCCAGCTGCCCAGGAAGCCCCCTGGAGAGCAGGTGTGGACATAGGCTCCAGACACCCGGAGCCCACACTTGATGCTTAGTCTTCTGGAACGGGTTTGAGAAACACCTGGGCTTTCAGAGTAGGAGCTCATGGGGTGGAGGGGCAGGGGAGTCTTCTGGCCAGGGGGTTGCAGTCTTCTGATGGGGTTGCAGGTATGAGGTGTAGTTGTGGTGAGGCGTGGGGAGGCAAAAACAAGATGGAGGTGATAAGCCTTTGTGGGTCCCAGCAAGAATGCAGGACTTGGCCTTAATTCTTCCACAAAGGCTTTCTGGAGGAGGTGCTTGTGAGCCGGGCAGGATGAGGCGGGAGGGTGGGGGGCGGGGGTTGGCGGGGAAAGGGTCCCAGCTCCCTTTGGGAGAAGTTGACCCGAGGTTTTGCCTCCTGCTCCAGCCCTCCCCCCTCCTGCACAGAGCCCTGCCTGCCCGGCCAGTGGGTTTACCCTGGGGCTAATCCGACAGAGGTGGGTCTCAAATCACTTGTGAGACTGGGCACCTGGGTGGGGGTGGGGGAGAGGTGGGAGAAGGAAGGAGTGAGTGGCCGAGGGAGGGGTCTGGGAAGGGGGCCGGCATGGCAGCCACTGGTGCCACTCAGCCTTTGCTGTCAATGCCACAGTCTTCTCAGAAAAAGAGCTGCGTGGAGGAACCAGATCCTGAGCCCGAAGCTGCAGAGGGTGATGGTGACAAGAAGGGGAATGCCGAGGGTAGCAGCGATGAGGAAGGGAAGCTAGTCATTGACGAGCCCACCAAGGAGAAGAATGAAAAGGGGGCACTGAAGAGGAGAGCGGGGGACCTGCTGGAGGTAACTGCCCCTCCCTGGGGCCTAGGAGCCAGGTTCCCAGTCTGAGATACAGACCTAGTCCCTGGTCTTAGTGAGGTGCTTGCTGAAAAGATGGGATACAGAGACATTTCAGTCAGCAGAGGGGTGGGGAGGAACTAGGGAGGGAGTCTCTGGGGAAAGGAGGGGTAGGCACAGGCTGGTGGCTGCCATCCTTCCTCTCCAGCTTCAGCCCTCGTCTCTGCCAATCCTGCCTAGGACTCCCCAAAACGTCCCAAGGAGGCAGAAGACCCTGAAGCGGAGGAGAAGGAGGTGGCCGTCTTGGAGGGTGAGCATCCCCTTCCTGTGGAGGTAGAGAAGAACAGTACTCCCTCTGAGCCTAGCTCTGGCCGGGGGCCTCCTCCAGAAGAAGAGGAAGGGGCTGCCAAGGAAGATGCTGAGGTCCCAGGCGTCAGAGATCATGAGAGGTGAGTGAGCCCCTGCCCTGGCAGCTCCGCCAGGAGGGCCCAGCCACTTACGGAGAGGAGGAGGTGGAGGGCCTGCAGCTGTCAGCCTCTCAAGAGGCAGGAGGTGGGCGGGCAGGTGGGCTTTTCCAGATTGGCACTGGCTGGGGCAAGGGCAGGCCAAGGTCTCATCATTAACCCTTCTCCCCTCCAACCCTCCCCTGCAGCCTGTAGCCACCAATGTTTCAAGAGGAGCCCCTGCCCCGTTCCTGCTGCTGTCTGGGTGCTATTGGGGAAACTGGCCATGGCCTGCAAACTGGGAACCCCTTTCCCACCCCAACCTGCTCTCCTCTTCCACTCACTCTCCCTCCTCAAGCCCCGCCCCTGGAGATTGACTTGGATGTGGCAAGCTACCTGGTCTTTACCTCCATGTCACTTTCACGTCTCCACACCCTGTGATCTAAGTCAGGGCTATGTCTTCTGCTCCATAGAATGAGATGAGGCCTTTTGTCCCTCCCTGCCTGGAGCTGTTTCTAGGATTTCTGTTGGGGCCTGGACCAGCTGTTTCCACCTCCTGACACCCCTGTGCCCCTTCCCCAGGCATTGTGGACCTCTGGATTGGTTGGGATCAGAGTTAGGAACAGAAAGGATGGAGGGTAAATAGCAAGGGTGGGTTTCTGGGGTCTGAGAAGAGCAGTCCTCAAATTAGGGTGGGGAGGTGGTCAGGAGATGGCATCTTCTTGAGCTCCTGTGCCTTCTTCCCACACTTACTATCCCAGCTGCCTAGAATCGGAGAAAATGGGACAGCTTGTGTGGGAGGGACTTCCTTCCATAAATTCTTGATGATTAACGACACCAATTCTTCTCTTTGCTAATCCCAGGAGTTGTAGTTAATTCATCAAAAGACTTTGAGGCTTCCTAGTTGTTTGGGTCAAGGACCTGAGATCTGAAGTGTTGACTTCACCCTGCCTGGATGGGGGTGTTGAGGAGTAGCTGTCCTCACTTTTAGATCTTGGGCCAGACGTGGGATGCCTTGGGGAGATCCCTAGCTGCCCTTTTCCCTCTCCCCACAGTGCTCAAGGCCAGCCTGCAGCCACATGTCGCCCAGACATATGGAGAAGACACATTTTTTAGGAAATGTTTTTAATAAAAAAAAATTTTAAAAAATTTTGAAGACCCCTTATCCCTTTGTGTGCCTCCCGCACTGCTCCTTTCTTCCCCACTTTTGCCCTCATTTCTGAGGTGCACTGGGAGGCTCCCCCTCTGGGCTTGATGATTTGCCTTTTGTAGCTGGGGCTTTGGTGTTCCTTCTGGTGTTATTTCCCATCCACACTCCCACCTCATCCCCTCAGTGTTGTCACCATATCCGATTTGTAACCCACTTGAGTGGACAGGGAAATGAATACCCTTTCCCCATCTCTTTCTAGTGGTCTCAATGCCTCTTCCATCTCATGTCTGTTTCACCCTTGTCCCTCTCCCTAGGGCTCTGATGAAAAATTGCTGAGTGTAGAAGTGTAGCTCCGAGAACCGTAGGCAATTTCAGTTCTAGGAAAATAAACCTGTTGATTACTACATTGGATTCTGACTGGTTCTTTAGGGGGGAGGTATATTGGAGAAGGGGAGAAGGGAAGGGGGATACAAATGATTTCTAAGTTAACTTCAGATTGAGGTTGGGGGGGGTGACAGCTTCTCCATTCTCAAGCTGTTCGAAGTAACCAAAATTCTACATGAGGGCAGTCACAGAGTAAACTACACCATTTCTTTCTGCTTCTCTTGCACAGCCACTGTTTAACACAGGTTCCCCCAATAAACACCCAGGAATGTTAAAAAAAAAAAGTTTGCACAAGAAGTAGGGTATAAGAAGGTGTCAATATCAATCAAAGGTCAGAGCTAGTTATACCTGGCACCCTTAACACTGACGATTAGAGGGGAAGAGGTTGATAGGGTGAAATCTTCCCAGCAGTCCAAGTCAAGTGGCTGAATTAAGTCGTATGAAGTTCCTTCCAGATTTGACACTTTGTGACTAGATCATTGACTGGCATTGGAAGGACCCGCGTTTCATCCCGTCCTTCAGAACACCTATGGTAGTATTTAATCTCTTCTGGCCTCTTCCAAAAGAAGGGCGCGTAGGGGCGTCTATTGTCTGTACCCTTGCCTGGAAAGAGTAGCCCTCTATTTCAAACTGGAAGCCACTATCTCCTAGAAAATGGAGCCATCGGCTCAACTACAATTCCCAGCAGCCCGCACACAGCAAGTTCAGGAATGTGCCAGGTGCGGCAGCCTTTTACCTCCAACGTCTGACGTGCTTCACGATGATTTACGCTCCCTTGGTTTCCTTACCTGACCTAATTTCCTATTTCAGCTTGCCTCGTAGCTATTGACTACAACTCCCAGCATGCAGAGAGGCTAGATCGGTTGAGCTTTCGCTCTACGATTAGACTACATTTCCCACAAAGCCGAGGGGCGGGGACTTGCGTGGCTTCGGGCCCACGTGTAACAGATAAACGGAGTAACCCCCGCAAGTGGAGGTGAAGCCTGCAAAGCGAAAGTGTTGGCAACTTTGCGCTCGTCCTGGTGGCGGGTGCGGTAAGGGTCTTCCTTTTCCCGGGCGGTCGCTCAGCGGTATAGCGGAGAGTTGCTCTACACCGGAAACTTGGAGCGGGTAGGTGCAGCAGTCTTTTTGGGGTCGGACTTCGCCGCACCTGTGATGGGGCTGGCGGGTAAGCCTTTGGAACTGAGGCCTGAAAGGCAGACGGCCCACCGCACTACCTTGCACGGCGCTTCCAGAACATGCCGCGAAAGTCCCACTGTGAAAGGGACACGAACCTTTCCAGGGAATGGAAGGAAAAGATGGGGGGGGGGGGTGGCTTTGGGGATCTCTTCGCAGAGCTTCAGATTTAGAATGGCTGAGGTTAAGGGACTTTTTGCAGTCGTACGCAGGAGTCGTGGGTGTTAAGCTTGGCCCTGCTTCTGTCAAGCTGTATGACCTAGGACAAGCACTTCAACTCTCCGGGCCTTGGTGTCCCTGTCTCCTGTCTACTTCAATCACAGGGCAGTGGGAAGATGAAATACCAGTAATAGTGAAGTTCCCAGTATTTGTCTCATAGTGCTCACTAACCATTTGTTGAATCTGAATGCGGACGTTGAGACTACATTCAACTAGCATTAATTGAAAGTAACATTAGGCCTTTTCCATATAGAGGAGTATAAAGGAAAAAATTACACAATATCCCATTGTTTAGATAATCCGGTTGGTGTGGCTCTGTACTTTGGGCGTCGCTCCACAGACAGAAATGTCACCAGTTTGATTCCCGGTCAGGGCACAACCTTGAATTGCTGGGCCAGGTCCCTGGTTGGGACCTGCCAAGGGCAATGGATGGATGTTTCTCTCCTCGTTCTCCTTCCCTTCCCCCTCTCTAAAAATAAATTTAAAATCTTATTTTAAAAAGATGATTAAAAATGCAAACATTATGGCAAGAATCAAGATGGAAAATAATAGCCCTCCCAAACGGTTCCTTTCCCCCTTAAACAAGTACCTGAGTTATTTCCTGCCCATCAACATTTATGCCTGTACCAGAATATACGTATTTTAAATTTTACCCCAACAGGATAATACTGTTTATATTTTTTAGCATTAAAATAATTTGAATGACACCAACAACCCGGTAAAGTTTTATGGATGATGAACGTGATGCTTGCCTTGGGTCACAGAATAAGGATGGTGAAGTAGGAACTAGAGTAGAACCCAGGTCATCTGACTTCCAGTACAGAGCTCTTTATGCCGTTGTAGTGCACTTTATTTGTACTTTGAAACTAGACTTCATTCTTAGCTATAAAACAAGATTGATGGCACTTTCTTTCTTAAATAAAGTGATAGATGAAACCACAAAGCATGGCACCTGGCAGGTAGCAAGTGCTCAATAAATGGAAGCTCTTATTTTTGCCCTTAGTTCTCTCACCACCTTATAGATTTGGTTCATCATCCAAAATTGAGAGGCTTAGGGTATATAATGGGCAATTTAGGACACAGTGATCCTAGAGCTTGACTCTGGGTCCTTTTCTTTTAGAAAAGAAGCTATCTTAAAAAGGAGTGGTCTTTTCCTGACTGAAGATGGGCATTGGAAGTGGTGTAAGGACATTTTAATCTTAGTTTCTACCTCTGTTCCCTATTTGGTTGTTTTACTATATAACTGCCCGGTTTTTTGGCCATACACCAGTGGTTTGTCCCATAACTTGCTGTCCCCCCCATCCTGTTGTTTGTGCATTTAGTAATTTTTTGAAATATTTTATTTCTTTTTAGAGAGAGGGGAAGGGAAGGAGAAAGAGTGGGAGAGAAATATCAATGTGTGGTTGCCTCTTGCGCACCCCCTTCTGGGGACTTGGCCCCCAACCCAGACATGTGCCTTGACTGGGGAATTGAACCCGTGACCCTTTGGTTCACAGTCTGGCACTCAAGACAGCCACTGAGCCACACCAGCCAGGGCTGTTTCTTCTGCACAGTAGCTTTATGGCCATGGGCAAGTTAGTTAATCTCTCTGAATCTATTTCCTTTCTGAGGAAATAGACTCAGTAAAGTGAAGATAATATATTATGGGGATTCAGTGAGATGAGGTCCACTGAGCAATGGAGTCAATGCTTTAAAAAAAAATTCCTCCCTTTGCTTCTTTGCCCCCTTGTTTCTATCTACTCCAGAGCTGAGTAGGAAGGTTTCTGGGTCTTTCACTGGCCAGGGGACTCCTCAGAGCCTTCAGCCATGCGTCTCTCTGCCCTGTTGGCCTTGGCATCCAAGGTCACTCTGCCGCCCAACTATCGCTATGGGATGAGCCGCCCAGGGTCCCTTGCAGACAAGAGGAAGAACCCTCCAGGGACCAGGCGGCGCCCAGTAGCTGTGGAACCCATTTCCGATGAAGACTGGCACCTGTTCTGTGGGGATAGGGTGAGAGTCCCAGTTGAGGTAGAGAAGCGGGGGGGGGGGGGGGGGACTCCTGGGGAAGGATCTCCCTCCCTGACCCTCATGTGTTGCCACAGGTGGAGGTCCTAGAAGGCAAGGATGCTGGAAAGCAAGGCAAAGTGGTTCAAGTTATTCGGCAGCGAAACTGGGTGGTCCTGGAGGGGCTGAATACAGTAAGTGAAGAGTGGGGATGGGGGCGCTCAGAAAGCCTGTCCCATCTATTCCTACCTATTAAGAGCAGCAAAGGAGTCAGAAGACTGGCTGAGGGGATGGTGAGGTAACTAAACCTTCCGGTTTTCAGCACGGGTTGGATGCTCAGAGCTGTGGTAAGCAAGTCACCTTCACGCCCTTTGATTTCTGATAACCCCTCCTCTTTCGGACAGCATTACCGCTATATTGGCCGGACCAAGGACCACCGGGGAACCATGATTCCCAGCGAAGCACCCTTGCTCCACAACCAAGTCAAACTTGTGGATCCTGTGGACAGGTTAGCATGTGGGCTCTGGTTAGAGGGTTTCCCACCCTGAGTTCTTACAAATGTTAGCTGCATTTATCCAATGGCAGTGGTGGTTTAGATGCTCTGGAAACTGAGAGGGGCCATCTCATGGACATGACCCCCTGTAGGCAATCCCAATACAGAGGTAGCATTTTCAGCCATTTAATTCTACATTGTGGAGTAGCAGGGAGTCCTGGCCCCAGGCCTGGTTCATCTCTTCTGTCCACTAGGAAACCCACAGAAGTGGAGTGGAGATTTACTGAGGCAGGAGAGCGGGTCCGAGTCTCCACAAGATCAGGACGGATCATTCCCAAACCTGAATTTCCCAGAGCTGATGGCATCGTCCCCGAAACATGGATTGGTGAGGCTGGATGAGGGACAGGAAGATGGAATAGGCTGATGAAAGTGGGAGTAACGGATGTTAAGATTCTCACCCATCTTTATTCCTCTGGCTCATAGATGGCCCCAAAGACACATCAGTGGAAGATGCTCTAGAAAGAACCTATGTGCCCCGTCTAAAGACTCTGGAAGAGGAGGTGATGGATGCAGTGGGGATCCAGGAGACTCGGAGACACAAGAAAGTCTATTGGTATTGATCCTGGGGAGAGCAGCTTCTCCCCTCCTTGTCTTATCCTTGAAGGCTGGAGTCCCATCTTCTTCAGTTACCAGTAAAGAGTCATGAGTCCTCCTCCGTGTGCAGCTGCTGTTTTCTGGCATCCCTAATCCATGGTGCCTGTTCCAGGGGCTGCAGGGAGGGAGCCACCTGCCCCAGTGTGTGGAAGTTAGCTAGCCTGAAGGTGGCCTCCGAGGCACAGGGCTTACCGATTCAGGGATGGAGACTGGTGGGAGAGAGGTTCCCTCCAGTGGAGCCCTGGGAACATGCCACCTGTTCTGGAGGGCAGTGGGGGTTGGGGACATGAAACCTAATTGTCGCACCTCTGCAGGATCTAAGTTGGGAGGGTGTACACCTGTCCTTTTCCGTATTTAACAGAAGGGGAAGGAAAATAAAGATTCTGACTTTTTAAATTAAAAATAAATTTTTATGTAATACAACATAATACATGGAGTGAAATAAAGAGTATGAAGCTGAAGGTCTGTGGGGGGCCAAGATTCCAGAGAGGATGCAGGATACTCATTTTCTGGGTCAGGAATGCAGACTCTACCACCCCAGTGTGGCTCCCGGGTCCCAGGTGTGCCCGTCCGCAGGCTGTTGTCAGCTGTCTTCACTCTCCAGAACAGAGAAGGCCTGACCCAGGGGCCCCTTGGTGGCCACCAAAACCAGGTTTCTCGGAGAGAGTTCAGGGCTGAAGATGGGTAGGAGCTCAGAATGGAAGCCTGGGAGATAGACAGAGCTACTAAGGGGAGAAATGAAGCCCACTCTCAGCTGTACTTCTTGCCCAGGCAGGGATAGCCCCCTTCCCCATGGGGGGAGCTCCAGGAGACTAAGGACACCCAGTTCTCTACCAGGAACACCTGAGGCACTGACTTGAAAGGAGGCATAATGCTGGTTCCCAAAGCCAGGGATGCTTGCTCAAAAGGCACTTCAAGGACACACACCAGAGGCTAATTCAATAGAAATCTGTTTACAGGTCCCCCACCCCACCCCCATCACTGGTGACTCTGAAGCAGGTGGCCTAAGAATCACCACAGTGATGAACTCTGGACCCTGAAGGAGGAACCCCAGGACTCTAGGCCCTCGAATGCTGGGCCCCTGCTGTAGGCCACCCTCACCCTGCTCCTGAAGATACAGCAGCCGGTCCAGTAGAATCAGTGTCTCCACCAGTGGAGCCAGCAACAGGGCCAGGCTGAAGAAGGCCACCACACGGTTCTCCTGGGCCTGGTGGGCCCGAAGGGCAGCCAGGTTCAATGGCAGCTGGGGATCCAGCCCCACCCGCTGCAGCCCCTGCTGCACATATCTGTGGAGTCAGCCACACAGAGCACTCAGTTTGGTTTTCGGGGTCGCCCCCACTTAAACTATTGGCTCCTAATTTGAATCCAAATTTGCTTGATTTTCTACCCTAATTTGCATTTTAAATGTTTCTTTGGCTGTCAGCTGTCTGTCCAATAACAAATTGATCTAAAAATATATTTTCAGCCAGATCTGTCCAACTATTTGGCCATATTTTTAGCATTATAAACCCTAAGTCTCCTGATATTGAAGAAACTTTGAGAAGCTGCCCCAGTCAGAGAACTTAGAATCACCCCCTGGGAGCATTTAGATTTTCTTAGGGACTGGCTAGCAAGAGAGGGTGTGAGGGGACTCAGACCTCCAGTTGGCTCCTGACACCATCCCCCCAAACTCCCCAGCCTCACTCTTCGATCTTGAGTTCGTGGACCCTGGGGATCCCCTGCACGCCTGGCCGACGGAGCTTGGGCTGAGCGTGCCGGATGACTGTCTCTAGTGCTGCCCGGTAGCAGTGGGTTCGGAGGCCAGGGCCTGCTTTCTGTAGCCTCTGGGCATATTCCTCCAGGGCATGGCAGGCTCCCTCTCGCAGCCTGTAGGACAATTCATAGCCAGGCAGCGTGGCCACCCACTGACTCAGGGGGTAGCCACCAGGGTCACTCAACTTCATGTAGCAGCAGCCCACTGAGGCCAGGGCCTCCACCTCAGGGCAGTAGGAGAAATGCCTCAGCAAGGCGACACTCAGGTCCCCACAGGCATGGAGGCCTGTCAGCAGCAAGCGGGCCCCACCCTGACGTGAGTCCTCCAGTGGAAGCAGGAGCTCCTCACACAGAGTCCTGGGGTCTACCCACTGAACCACATGGTGTGGGGAGTGGCGAGACCCAGTTTGCACCACCTGTGGAGGCAGGAAAGGACAAAATAGGTGGGAAGTTTTTTGCTGTCCCCATGCCACCTCTGGTGGCTGCAGGAATCTGTCCTCTGTTCTCTCCCAAGGGAGAAGGTGGATGAGAAGCTGGGGCATGGGAGAGAGCTAAACCTTGAATCAAGAGATGGGATAAATTATGGACCTATCATTAACTACAAGTTTTTTCATCTCTGAGTCCGTTTCCTCATTTGTAACAAGTATAATACTGACTGGCTACTTCAGTTGTGAGATGGACATATCAGTGTGGAAAGCACTTTGTAACTAGACAGTGCTTTTAAGATGTGACAAGGCTTTGCCAAAGGGAAAACCTGGGAAGGGGTTAGCAGAAATAGGGACCACACCATCTCAAGCTGAGAAACTTGAAAGACAGCTCAGCCAGTCAGACCCTGCTCCTGCAGTTCCGGCTGCGGTGAGGGCTGGCCTACCTGTGGGTTCCTCTTCTCCTCCTTTTTCAGAGCCTGCAGGAGCTCCTGGTCCAGGTGCTGGGCTCTCTCCACCAGTCTCTGATCCCCTTCAATGCTCTTCACCTTCAGCCCCAGCCCCAAGGACATGAAGCGAGAGAGATGGCCCTGGAACCATGAGAGGGAGAGTAGAGACAGCTCCATTCAGTGCTCTTACCTACTGTCACCTTCTCTACCAGTGGCCTGGACAGACACCTGGGTCACAGGCTCCCAGAAGACTTAAATTCTGTCCTGTTTACTTTTACTGCTCCTTGGTGCCTGCCTCCTTAGGCCTGGGGCCTGACAACTTGCCTTCCAGCTGTTCTAGCCCCACCACTCCCCTCACCTACCCCCCCCCCCCCCCCCCCAGAAAAACCAATGTTCGGAGTCTGTGCAGCTCACCTGGCCTGAGCCCACATCCACAACCTGGGTGCAGCCTGTGAGGTCACTCAGCTTTTTCACCAACTGAAAAAGGTGGGAACAGAGGTCTCTTGGCCATTGGTTCTTGATTCCTGGAGCCTAATGATGGAGAAGCTTAAGATGGCAGAGGAAAAGGGGTAGAGGGTGCCATGGAAGAGATAAGATAGGGAAACTAATAGTAGAGGTGCTGACCCAGGCACCTTGCTCCTCTCAGGTCAGTATTCAGTCTCCCCCTTAGAACAAGAGCCTGTCTGTGAAGCCATGGCAGGTTACGGAGGTGTCAAAACAGGACTTTCAGCCATAGCTACCAACCAATCTAGCAAAAGGATTAAAAAAATCCCCCAAACCAGCATAAGTTATGATTTTAGTATGTCTGCCAAGGAAGGAAACTTCTAGGGTCTCTGGTCCTGCAGGTGATACAAAGTGCCTGCATCTTTGTAACCCACCAGCTTAACAAGTCCCCCGGCCCCCAGACACTACCTATACCACAAACATCCCCCTTACCTCTCCCAGCCTCTGGATTTCATGCTGCTTCTTGGGCCTGACGTGTTTTCGGAATGGAGCTGTAAGTCGGGAGCTCTGGCTGGGGTTCTCCAGAAACTCTGAGGGGGTCTGAAACCCAGGTGTCCGGTTAAAGGCCAGGGCATAGGCTGTAGACTTCAGGGCCAACAGGGTAAGTGGCCACACCGACCTGTACCTGAGATAGCCCACCCAGACCCCCAGTGAATAGACCCATTGTGTCCTGAGGGCACCAGTGTACAACCCAGGAAGCCCTTGTAAGACTCTGAGCAACGGCTGGCTGCAGGGGTCAGTGCCAAGTCCCCCAGCAGAGGGCCCCCCTTGCCCATACCTGACCACGTCCCCGCCCCCAGGCATCCCTAGCAGCAGTGTGGCCAGCTGTGGAGGGTTCAGTCCATCCAGTGCTTCCTGCCATGAGCAAGGCAGTGTGCCCCACAGGCCGTCTGTGAAAAACTCCTGCAGAAGGGGAGACGTGATCAACAGGCTGCTACCGACTGGGGTGGCTCCGTGGCGAGCATCGTCCTGCCAACTGAAATGTGGCAGCCAACTGATGTTTGTGTCCCTCTCTTTCTCTCTCCCTTCCCCCTCTCTAGAAATAGTCTTCAAAAAACCCCACCAACTACTATCGTTCCCATTTGTCCCCACCCCACTCTCAACACTGGCTGCAACCAGCAGGTACCTCCTACTCATCTGAGTCACCTCTTCTCTAAAGCCTGTTCCAGACTCCCCTCCTTCCTCGGAGACCAGAATGCATTCTGAACACATCTCTCCTTTTCAAGTTTGCCACTTATTTATGTGCTTGTTTCCTCCACTCAACTGAACCTAAGGGTAGGGATGGTGTCTTCTTTACATCAGCAGCCCCAACACCACAGTGACTGACATGCAGTATTAGTATGTTACCATTTAGTAACCTATTGTTATATATGCCAGACACCTGATATGCCAAGATTTTTATTCATTCATTTGTTGAACACAAATTCTGGAGCTTCGGTTATGCACCAAGCTCTATTCTATGATACAGCAATGAATCAGGCAGACAAAATTCTTGCTCTTGCAGAGTTTACCTAAAGAAAAAAAATTTAGATAACATCAAATGCACAGAGACAAGAAAAAACCAATGAAATATAAGGAGACTCTGAATGAGCATTTTAGAGAAATGAAGGAACGCTTGAGTTGACACTTGAGCTGAAACTTGAATGATGAACAGGAAACAGGCATGTAAAAAAAAACAGGCAATAGCAAACACTTATAAAATAATATGCCAGGCACTATTCTAAACATTTTATATTTATAGTAACACATTTAATTGCAATGAGGTAGGAATCATTTTTATCCTTCATTTTACAGATAAGAAAAATGGCACCCTGGCCAGGTGGCTCAGTGGGTTGGAGCATCGTCCTGTCCACCAAAAGGCTGCAGGTTCAATTTCTGGTCAAGGCACGCACCTAGGTTGCAGGTTTGATCCCCAGTAGGGGCACCTAGGGGAGGCAACTGATCAGTGTTTCTCCCTCACACTGATGTTTCTTTCTCTCTAAAATCAATAAAAACATACCCTCGGCTGAGAATTAAAAAAAGAAAACTGGCAACTTAAGTAACTTGCCCAAGTCAAAAAGCTAGTAAGTTGCTGAGCTAGAATTTGAAATCAACCTGACTAGAATTCCTGCTTTTAACCATTCTATTGCCTTTCTGTTGAGGAAAACCACTCCAGACAGATCAGTAAGAGCAAAGACCCAGATGGCTGCCATATCTGTGGAGTAGAAATCAGGCCAGTGGGGGTACAGTACAATGAATGTGGGAATGAAATGTGATGGGGTTCAAGAAGCAGAAGGGGACAGATCCCACAGGGCTTCAGAAGTATTAAAGGTAATGGTAGGGAGTTAGGATTTCATCAAAATGCCTAGCAAGGAACTGTTGTGATCAGATTCATATTTTTAAAGAAATCAGTCTGACTGCTTGTGGGGAACTGGTTATGGGGGAGCTTAAGTCCACGAGAGAAATAATGGTGGCTTGGCCCAGGTTGGTAGCAATGAAATGGAGACAAATGAGTGAATTTGGCTTTTTTTTTTTTTTCTGGAGGTAGAGCCAAGAGAACTTGTTGAAGGATTGGACTGTAGATCAGTGAAGAAAAGCTGAATCAAAGATGGCTTTTGGGTTTGTGGGCTGAACAATTCAGCAGTTGCTGGTGCCATTAATACACCATCTAATTTATTCTTCTCAATGATCCTTCAAATAGGAATTTATTTTTGCAACTAGGGCTAGGAGAAATTTTTATTTAATGCCTGAGGTTACTACAGTAGGAGAGGCAGGTTTCTGGTCGGAGTCTATCTAATTCCAAAGTTTATTTTCCATTACGTTACAAAATCAGGAATTTAAGCATGGATGAATGCACTTGTGTGTTCTTGGAACACCTCACATGTTCTAGGAGAGTTCAACGTAGCTGCAGCGCGGCTCAAATGTGCATGCATTTTATTACTTTGGATTTAGAAAGGTTAGAAAAACAACCTAGATATCAGAAATATTAATATTTGTGTCATCTGTAAAAAAAAAAAAGAGGAATCATCCCAGTTTTAACCGTTTTTTGTAAAGACAGACTGAAAGTCATAGAAGAGCTCAGAAGCTAACTCCAGATTTTCTCTGTCGTGGGCACCTAGCCATGCACACAACCAGAAGCACCCCGCCACACCCCCATGGCCTCACGATGATGTAGGCGTCCAGGATGGAACGGTAGAGCGACAGGACACGGGTGAGGTTCACAGCTAGCTGCTTCCTCTCCTCTTGAGAGAGGCCCCGAGCGGAAACGCCCGGCATCTGGGCTCCAGTTGGTGGCGCCACGAGCGAAAACGTTGTGAGAAGGAAGGCAGCGTCAACACCACGCGGACCCAGAACCTAGAGCTGGTTTGGACCTGTAGAAGAAATCAGTCTGCATTGGCCTCTGCCACCGTCTTTCCCGAGTTCCAGGTAGAGGCTGAGGACCTAAGACGTCCTCCCGACGTCACAGGCCGCGACGTCCACAGCGCAAAGGTGTACCCGCCCAAGTCCAAGGCGAGCAATAGTGGAGTGTCAGGTAGTGACGCTCCTGAGGCTGGCCGGGCGTCCAAATCCCGCCCCTTCCCGTGTACTTCCTGCCCATCCCCGGAAGTGGAGTTAGGGCCCCCGCGGGCGGTAGTTCCCGTTTGTCGCGGCCTCCCCACACTTTCAAGTTGCACCCCAGCGGAGCCAAAGGGACCAGTGGAGCGCATCCCGCCCACGCCCACGCCACCGCCTCTGCTCAGGCCGCTGTCCCTCGGCGCACGCGCGCGGGAATGTTCCAAACCGCGTGCCTGCCAGCCGGGGCCCCATAGGTGGGAGCAAATTTCCGTGCCGGCTTCGGGCGTTTCCGGTCTTAGCGGGCTCAACTGGGAGGTAGGTGATGATGAGGAGAACGGGCTCCGTGAACGGGACAGCCAAAGTGTGCTCGCCTAGGTAGCCTGCTCGCCGCCTCAGCTTTCCCCCTGACCTTGTGTGTTGTCAGACGCCTTTTCTTGGGAGAAGGACTTGGGTGAGAAGCATGTGGAGATTCCCTCGATCTGGAACCCGCGATGGGGATGCCACGGTAATCTAGATGCCGTATGCCGCACTCCTCACTGGTTTCGAGCGTACTTAAACGTTCCCTCCTTGGGCAGATGTAGTAGGAGCTTACTTATTCTGGCTTTCCAGACTCAGACAGAATCGAGCTGGTTAGCCCTTCAGCCTTCTCAGTTTACAAATGAGAAGGCTCTAGAGAGGAGAAATGACCTTCCTAAGACCGTAGGGCTGGTTAATTGTGGGCTTGTCTCAGGGCTCCTAACGTCATTTCACATTACAGATTCATTCCCCCACTATCAAGGAGGTTGCTCTGATGTATTTTCTCCCTTAAGTCCTATGGAAATGAATCTTATTGTTCTCCCAGGCCTTTGGGCTCTGTTATCAAGTTCACTTTCTTCCCCAGGGTATATTACAAACCTCCAGATGTTGGTCTGTGGGGTTCAGCAGAGGATCAGTTCACTAACCCTTCATTGGTAAGCCACTCTTCCCGATTGCTGTCCTATCATCCACCATCCTCATGTCTGCCTTACTTCTCAATCTGGATTTTGGTAAACCTCCCCCCAAAAAGGCATTAGAGGGGAATGCCAAGCACCGAAATTTTGTCAAGAAGCGGCGGCTCTTGGAAAGGAGAGGCGTTTTGAATAAGAAGAACCAGCCCCCTAGCAATGTGCCTAAGTTGCACTCAGAACCTCCAAAGAAAGGGGAAACTCCTCAGATGGATGACACTTTGAAAATCCCTCCCCCTCCAAAAAAGAAGACTGCTGCCTCCAGTGGTGGGTCAGAGCAGTCCCTGGACAAGAAAGCATCTGTGCCTTGGCTGACCCCTGCCCCTTCACAGAAGGCTGGTTCTGCTGTGGCTAAAGTAGATTTGCTGGAGGAGTTCCAGAGTGCCCTTCCAAAGATTAAGAGCCACCCAGCTCGCCACCAGAAGAAGGACCCCCAGAAGAACCCTCCTCAGAAGAATACCCCAGCTCATTCAGAGAATAAATTTTCCGGAGCATCCCAGATGCTGCCAAGGAAGATGGTGGCAATTGACTGTGAAATGGTGGGCACAGGACCCAAGGGGCATGTCAGTTCCTTGGCTCGATGTAGCATCATCAACTACAATGGAGATGTGCTCTATGATGAGTACATCCTTCCCCCCTGCCACATTGTGGACTACCGCACCAGATGGAGTGGTATTCGCAAGCACCACATGGTGAATGCTACACCCTTCAAGATTGCTCGGGGTCAGGTGAGAGGCATGGGGCACTGCAGTAGCAGTGAGGTGGGTGGGGAGAGGTCCAGGCAGGTGTGGACCATGTTGGTGGTGGGAGAAGGCAGAATGTTTACAGAATGAGCTTGGGTGTTATTTATATAAGTGGGACAGGTAGTCTGCAGTGAAGGGGATAAAAGACATGGCTGATGTGTCTCATTTCACCCATTGAGCTAACTTACTCATTGTAGCCCTCTGTTGGGTACTGGGAACACAATAAATGAACAGGAAAGGAGGGTGTGTCAGCAGAGGTGATGGAAAGGAGGGGAGCTTACTGGCCTTGGGCGGCCTCCAGAGAGCGCCCTTGGTCCACCACTTTGTAATTTCAGCTGCACAGTTTGCCTTCTCTAGACACATTCCATTACAGTATTTCCTTACATACCAGAATAGTCAGTTGGAGGAGGCTCATCAGAGGTGAAACGGTTGGATTTTATAAAAAAAACTTAAAGAGTTGAAAAACTCATGCATTAGTGGCAAAGTTGGCCAAAGTCTTGGGAGAGGCAGAAGGTGGGGTGAGTCTGAGATAGACAATCTGCTGGGCTTAACAAGGGCTATGTGTTGAAATTAATGCAAGTAAAGGTGTTGTTGGACAGTAAACTGCAAGTAAAATCAACTAAGTACCTAGTTGATTAGACTGCATCTGTTTTTCATCATATATCATTTCCCCAGGGTTCAAGTGGGGTAGGAAACCAAGGTATAGCCAGATGAGTCTGACCCCTAGCAAGGGGTCCTATTGGAAGACCATGTACTCATTTTTCCAGGAGTATTGCTCTTGTTTAAAACCTATTTGGAACTCCATTTTGGGAATGGCCTTCAGAGCAATAGCACATTCTTTGGTTGGTTGTCCTCGCTGATAGTATGTCACCATGCTTTAAGATCCTGAAATGGTGAGAAGTTATTTGGTTCTAAGTCTGGTGTGAATAAGGTTCCCAAATGGCTGGTAGACACCTGGTTATGAGCAGGAGGATCTATAAAGCAATGGCACTGACTTTCTGTTAAAACAGCACAAGCATGGGTCACCGGATCACTTCCCTCTGCAGCCTTAGTCTTAAATGATTCTTTTTTTTTTTTTTTGGTAAAGATTTTATTTATTTATCTTTAGAGGGGAAGGGAAGAGAGGGAGAGAAATATCAATGTATGGTTGCCTCTCATGTGTCCCCTGCTGGGAACTGGCCTGCAACCCAGGCATGTGCCCTGACTGGGAATTGAACCACAGTTGTTTGGTTCACAGGCCCACGCTCAATCTATTGAGCTGCATCAGCCAGGGCAGTCTTAAGTGATTCTTAATCTTTTATGGCTTGTAGACCTTTTGAGGATATGATGAAAGCCTAGACCTTCTTTTTGCAAAAAACAAACAAAAATATATGTAGGTATATCAATTTACCTGTAATTTGGGGCTTCCATCACCTCCCTAGAGCCCATCTTTGATTCCATTTGTCCCAGCCTGACACCTAAGGCCAGCATAAAGGTAACAGTTAAAGGAGTTCAAGAAGCAAGCCAGAACTGAACTAGATGCTTTATAGTTACAGAAACATCTTGAATGTGAATGTCATTTGGGACTGTGGGCAAATTAGACTATTATTGGGATAGAAAATAATGAGAAGGTAAGGAGCCACTTGCAATGTAAGTTAGTCCAAAAAGGGTTACACTGGTCCTGGCTGGGTAGCTCATTTGGTTAGAGCATCATCCCAAAGTGCCAAGGCTGCAGGTTTGATTACCGGCTCAAACGAGGGCTCATACAGCAATCAACCAATGAATATATTAATAAGTGGAACAACGAATTGGGGTTTATCTCTCTCTGGGGTTACACTGTGAAAAATACCTACTTTCAGGGAAGGGGAGTTGAGAGACTGGGTGCAAAGATTAGTAAGTACAACTTGGTTGTTACAAAACAGTCATGGGGATGTAAAGTACAGTATAGAGAATACAGTTAATGACATTGCAATAACTATGTATGGTGCCATGTTGGGTACTGGAAATGTTGGGGAGAACACTTTGTAAAGTTTATGATTATCTGACCACAATGTTGTACACCTGAAACCAATACAAAATAATATTGAAAGTCAACTGCAGTTGAAAAATAAAAAGTACAAAACTAAACAAAATATCTATTTTCATCTTGGGGAGAGAAGATAGATATCAGGTGAAAGAAAACTTGTAGGAGAGGGCATTTCAGGGATGAGGCAGGTGGGCCCTTGATGGAAAAAAATCTTCAAGGACCTAGGACCATGATGGACTTTTAGGACTCAGGGCTCTACCTGAGTTCTCCTAATCACCGTCTCTTCCACGCTGCTTTCAGATCTTGAAGATACTCACAGGAAAGATAGTGGTGGGACATGCCATCCACAACGACTTCAAAGCCCTTCAGTATTTTCACCCCAAGTCTCTCACCCGTGACACCTCCCACATCCCCCCTCTCAACCGGAAGGCTGACTGCCCAGAGAATGCTACCATGTCTCTGAAGCATCTCACCAAGAAACTGCTGAACCGGGACATCCAGGTAGCATCCTTCCACATGGTGCCAGGCCCCTGGCTTGGACACTGTGGAGTCTTTCTTTGCTGTGTCTCTAGGCTCTGACACCAGAATTCTTTTGGTTGTAGAGATCTCTCAGGCAGGCTGCCTTTATAGGAAGAGTGTTGGCGTAAGGGGTCAACTTCTCTTTCTCTAGGTATACATAAGGATAATAATTCCTGTTCTTTACCTCACAGTGTTCCAAAGCCTACTTGGAAAAGAAAAAAAAGCCTTAAGTGGGTGTAAAACCCTAAGAAAAGAGGAAAGTCAGGTGGTGGTCTAAAGACCTCATAGTGGTTGCAAAGACCTCTCATGTATTTCACATGTTTGGCTTTCAAGGAAGGGCAGATATACCTGGTAAGAGGCTGTAGACACATGTTATAGAGAGAGTTAAGGAATAGGGGAAGATGGAAGACTCAGACGGTCTGGCTGTGATCTGGATGTCCTATTTCTACAGTGTAGAAAAATAAGGCATACACGTGGTACCACATAAAGGACTGCGGCAGGCTTTAGCAAAGGCTTTCTAGGACTTGAACCCTTGAAATTAGGTAAAGGGAAGGGCCCCACCAGAGTTCTACCTTTGCAGCCCACCAAGTCTGCAGAAACAACAGCTTGTATCGCGCCTGAAGGGAGCAAGTAGGGAAGTGGGGGAAAAAAAGCACAATTTCTTACAGCCTCTTGCTCTTCTCTTCCTCCCTTGATCAGGCTGGGAAAAGTGGACATTCCTCTGTGGAAGACGCTCAGGCCACCATGGAGCTGTACAAGTTGGTTGAAGTTGAGTGGGAACAGCACCTGGCCCAGAATCCCCCCAAAGATTAGCAGCAGTGGGGATACCTTTGGTGAGAGGAGGCAGAGGCAGCACCACACCTGGAAAAACAGGGCAGTGAACCAGCGGACAGGACAATCCTACCAGCTCCCCACCTTTGGGAACCAGAGTTGTTGCGGGGAGAGAGGCTCTACCCCAGACTTAATATGTATTGAAATCTCACCTCAGGTGTTGTGTCGTGTGTCTGGTTAAGTGTCCCATGAAGGAGGAATCTCCATGTCAGTACCCAGCCCTACACTGTTTACCCGTTAAATGGTGCTAAACACAGGTCCCAGGGTGCTTTGTTCTAGTCAAGCTTTTTGACTTTTAAGGGTCGGGGCATACTGGGAAATTTAGTTTCCCAGACTGCCTTATCACTAGGGTAGCTATATGTCCCATTGTATGCCTTTTGTTCTCAAATAATTAACAGCACCCTTTTTCACTCTCAGAAGTATCCTGGTTGGATGATAATTGTATGGTTACATTACATATCAAAGTCTACATTTAGTCTGTGTCAGAATATCACCTGTTTTTTCCTCCCTGACTTTGAGAAGAACCATCCCTGGTGAGTTCCAAGGCAATAGAGAGGTAAGAGAGTATGATTTGAAAATCAACTTTTATGATGTAGGAAAGCATTCTCTCTCTTAAAGCAATAGAGGATTTATTTAATTTAGATCCCACCTGATAGGTTAAAAAAGAATTTTAAAGTCTTTTACTTTGCTAAAATAAGCCTCTTAAAAACTCAAATTATTCCCTTGATAAAATCTTTTTCCTTGATAAATTTTAATGGAAAAATAATTATGTGGTCTTTTATTTTATTTCTTTTTAGAGAAAGAGAGAAACATAGATTGGTTGCCTACCATATGCACCCTGACCAGGGAACAAACTCACAACCTTTTGGAGTATGGAACAGTGCTCCAGCTAAAATACCCACCTGGGGATTAACTTGCTTTGTTGCAAGGTCTTGTTGGGCTGTAATTCTGTAAGAGGTCCCAGTGTTTGGGTGGCACTGACTGGGTCCTGGTTTGCTGGAAGTCATCAGGAAGCATGGACAAGCCTATTTGTGTAGCCAGTGTGCTCTGGTGCCTGGTCCTTGCCCTTCCCACAAATCAAAAAGCACAGCTCACATCACACCCCAAGCCACTGGAACACCTTTACATGGAGTACATGTGACTAGGAGAGTGACTCAGTGGGCACATGGGAGGGTTGGAGCAAGAGGAAGGGTGCTTCTTGGTGCTAGCCTGGTTGTTCCTGCTGCCATTTCCTTGGTACACACCCTCATTTTGGGAAGGTGAGTCACAGGTCTGACCTTGTGTCTGAGATAACTGTCTTGAGAAAATGCAGACTCCATATGTTTACTGGGACTTGTGCCCTCTTGAGTGGCTGGTTTGACTTCAAGGGCCAGAGTCACAGTCATGGCTGCCTGTAGCAGGGGTGGTTAGGACAAGACTAAACATGTGGTCCTGTCACATACTGTGCTGCAGGATCTGTTTGCACAGGCACCTCTTGAGCTCCTGAGAAAATTGGTTCTTGCTTAGTCCAACTTGAACTGTCTGTGACACTTCACAAGGTGCCAGGTCCCAGGTGCCCTACACACTAGGAAGGCCACACTCCCAATTAGACATACACAAGAAAGCAAGTCTTCATTACATCATGATCAGTTAACTAGACAACCCTCATCTGAGATCAGTTTTTGCGTTACCTGCTGGCTGAAACAAAACTGGGTTTGTATGTATCTTGGTAAAGTAGCAACTGGCTTTTCTGCTTCATCCCTTCACGCTGAAACCCCCATCTTCATGTTCTACAGGGCCCCTGGTCTCAGTCCAACATTAGAGCTCAGTCTGTCTGCTCACCAGGAAGGACCTGGAGGATGAGAGGACCTTGCACTGTTTTCTCTCATCACTTTCTGATCAGAACCCAGTCCACCCTGCAAGGGTATTTGGGGATACACTGTCATTCAGTCCCCTTTCTTGTCCACAACCCTCTGTCCCCAGGATCCTGGCTTCATCAATTGATAATTGAAGAGCCCCACTACAGATTGCTGCCTGAATCCCTATCAGCAAAACCTTTATGGCTTTAAATTTAAGATCCTTTAGAGTGGACCACATTCCTGACAAAACCCAAACTCTTCTAATAATCTCTTCCTGGCATGATTATATTTTAATGCTAAGAGACCCACTACTGCAGGTGAACATGGGAAAGGGTAAAGATTGAGAACTATATTCACCAATCATAAACGTGGTAGTCTAAAACTTAACAGAGTAGTTCTCAAAAGAGGAAGGGAGGTGTATTTTGAAATTTCAGATGATAGTACTGCCTCTTCCTCCACCTTCATGAAGCACTGATCAGATTCACAGAGCAGGATGACAGCTATAGGGTGGGGTGGAGAGATAGAGCAAAAAGGAAAAAGGAATCAAGGATAACAGTGTGGTGATTGTAGGGTGGGGAGGGGGTATTAAGGGGACTAAATTGTAATAGAAAAAAGACAATAAAAAAATTTTTAAGCCCCACTGATCTAGTGAAGGCTCCAAAGAGGAAGCATTTAATCCTTAGTTCAACAGATGATTACAGCTGACCAGAAGAAAGATCAACAGTACTATAATTATGAACTGGTCCCCCAGGCACAGTAGCCAAAGTCCAAGTTTAGAGACAAACACTGATGTGTGCGATATGCTAGGTAAATACCCTGTATCTATAGTCTGTATAATGTACACAACGCTCTTTGGGTAGGGGAACTCAAGAGTTAAAATATTTTAGCCTTAGTTATAATTGAGAGGCTTAAGCAATTAATACAAGTGAAAAGCTTCCAGGACTGGAATGCATGACCTCTGTGACTCCAGAAGGTCAGCAAGCAATTCAGCCTTTGTGGCCCAGGGGGTCTGCAAGCCTATAGAGCTGGTATGAGTCATTGTGCTCCAAAGAGGAGTGTGTGCAATGGACAAAAATGGTTGATCAACAGATAAAGTACTAGGAAAGTCTTTGCCAGACTGCAGTTCTTATCCGATTAACCTTTTTCCTAACCACCTTACCTACCCTTACTTCTTATAAAAAGGTGGCTCTGAGTGAATGAGATGTTAAGACAGTTTTGGGGGGTACTTAACTCATCATCTCAGATCACTGGCATCTGAATAAAGTACCAATAAAGATTTAATCCTTGTCTCTGTTTATTGGTTCTGGTAGTGACAGGCAGCATGAACACTGACTTCTCGTTTCATTTTCTGGGGACTGGTGGGATACCTTTGAAACTCTCCAGTAAGTCTGGGTTTCTGGCAAGAAGTCCTGTTGGCTGCCTGGACTGGAGGGCCCACAGGGTGCAGGTTTGGAGACTCCCTAGCAGCTGCCAAGTGATTTCACTTGGGGACTCTCCTCCAATTCTCAGCACTCCCCATCACCTTCACGTTGGATTGAATTACTGTCCTTTCTGGTTTGAGGTTGTAGTCCAGGGTTATGATTTAGAAGTCATCAGGAATTAAGGTGCCTTCTGGTTGGTTTGATATTGCAGAGCTCTGTGTGGTAGAATTGTAATCCCAGGTTATGATTTAGAACAGTTGTCAGTAACTAAGGTGCCGTCTGGTTTATGAGATATTACAGGGCTCCATCTGGTAGAATAGGGGTGGGGGAGCTCCCATTCTAGAGACAGCTCTTTGGGGCAAATAATGGCTGTTTGGTCACCTATGCTTATGAACCTATGACTAAAAAGGAAATGGTCTTTTTTTTTTCTTAATTTTTTTTATTGATTATGCTGTTACAGTTGTTCTATTCCCCCCCCTTCATTCCCCTCCACCCTACCCCCGTTCCCACCATTACCCCCCCTTTAGTTTATGACCATGTGTCTCAAGTTCTTTAGATTCTATATTTCCCATGCCAATCTTGCCCCCCCCATCTATTTTCTATCTACTGTCTATGCTACTTATTTTCTGTACCTTCTCCCCCCTTCTCCTCCTCCCACTCCCCTGTTGCTAACCCTCCTTGAGATCTTCATTTCTATGTTTCCACTCCTGATCTAGCTGTCCTTTTAGTTTGCTTTTGTTTTAGGTGTGGTTGTAAATAACTGTGAGTTTGTTGTCCTTTCACTGTTCATGTTTCTTTAACTTCTTTTTCCTAGCTAAGTCCCTTTAACATTTCATATAATAAGGGCTTGGTGATGATGAACTCCTTGAATTTGATCTTATCTGAGAAGCACTTTATCTGTCCTTCCATTCTAAATGAAAGTTTTGCTGGATAGAGCAATCTTGGTTGTAGGTCTTTGGATTTCATGACTTGGAATACCTCTTTCCAGCCCCTTCTTGCCTGTAAGGTCTCTTTTGAGAAATCCTCTGACAGTCTGATGGGGACTTTTTTGTAGGTGACTGTTCCCTTAGCTCTTGCTGCTTCTAGGATTCTCTCTTTCATTTTAATTTTAGCTAATGTAATTATGATGTGCCTTGGTGTGTTTCTTCTTGGGTCCAACTTCTTTGGGACTCTCTGAGCTTCCTGGATTTCCTGGAAGTCTATTTCCTTTGCCAGATTGGGGAAATTCTCCGTTATTTGTTCAAATAAGTTTTCCACTGGTGGCTGTGCCTTTCCCCCTTCTGGTACCCCTATAATTCGGATGTTGGAATGTTTAAAGATGTCCTGGAGGTTCCTAAGACTCCTCATTTCTTTGAATTCTTGCTTCTTGACTCTTTTCTGTTTGGCCATTATTTGCTTTCTTCTGGTCCACTCCATTGATTTGAGTCCCAGTTTCCTTTTCATTGCTATTGGTTTCCTGTGCAATTCCATTCATTTCAATTAGTTTCGCCTTCATATATTTGTCTAATTTGTGGCTATAATCAACCAGTTCTGTGAGGATCCTGATGACCAGTGTTTTAAACTGTGCGTCTGAGAGTTTTGCTATTTCTTCATTGCTTAGATTTATAGGCTCTGGGGCTTTGAGATCTTCTTGAGCCATTTTTGGTCTGTTTGCGCCCTATAAGTGTGAGGAGCGGAACCTTGGACTCCCAGGTCGCTGGGTTGTGACGCTGTATGTGGGGGTGTGGTCAGAGCAGGGAAATGGCGGCACCCTCTGCTGTTTCATGCCTCTGGGTGAGGAGCAGAGGCTTAGGTGGTTCCCCTGGGCCGGGCCACTCAGAGTCGCTGGGTTATGACGCTGAATGTGGAGGTGGGGTCAGCAGGGAAATGGCGGCGCCCTCCCTGCCGCCTGCTGCAGGGACCCGCTGGGTCCCAGTCCAATCGCCCACTCCCTTGCTTGTCTATCCGAGCACCAATGCTCGACCACAGTCAACCCACAGCCCTGCTCGCTCACTGTTTCCCTGCGGTGGCTCGCTTGGTCGCTCGCTTGATCGCTCACTAGGTCCAACCCTGCGCCTGGATTCCGCGCGCCTGGATTCCGGGCGCCTGAGTCCGTCTGACCGAGTTTTCCTGTGCAACCCCGCTCCACCAGCTGCTGGTTTCGCCCGTTACTGGTCAGGCTGAAGAATTTGTTGTTAACAGACTTCTGAAAAGTTCAATTTTCTGTGTTCTGGCTGTGTTTTCTGTTGCTAATATTTAGTTGTCTTTAAACTTGGTTGTGTGAGAAGGCACGGATATCCACCTATGCCTCCATCTTGGCGGAAGTTTGGTCTTTTTTTTTTAAGACTTTATTTATATGTTTACTTTTAGAGAGAGGAGAAGAGAGGGAGAGAAACATCAATATGTGGTTGCCTCTTATGTGCCCCTCACTGGGGACCCAGCCCGCAACCCAGGCATGCGCCCTGACTGGTTTGCAGGCCAGTGCTCAATCCACTGAGCCACACCAGCCAGGGCGTGAAATGGTCTTTTTTTTTTAATATATATATTTTTTATTTTATTGATTATGCCATTACATTTGTTCTATTCCCCCTTTCATTCCCCTCCACCCTGCACACCCCTTCCCCATCATTCCCGCCCCTTTAGTTCATGAACACATGTCTCAAGGTCTTTAGATTCTATATTTCCCATACTACTCTTACCCTCCCCCCATCTATTTTCTATCTACTGTCTATGCTACTTATTTTCTGTACCTTTTTATCTTCTTTTTCTTAGGTAAGTCCCTTTAACATTTCATCTAATAAGGGCTTGGTGATGATGAACTCCTTGAATTTGATCTTATCTGAGAAGCACTTTATCTGCCCTTCCATTCTAAATGCAAGTTTTGCTGGATAGAGCAATCTTGGTTGTAGGTCTTTGGATTTCATGACTTGGAATACCTTTTTCCAGCCTCTTCTTGCCTGTAAGGTCTCTTTTGAGAAATCAGCTGACTGACAGTCTGATGGGAACTCCTTTGTAGGTGACAGTCCCCTTATCTCTTGCTGCTTCTAGGATTCCTTCATTTTAATCTTGGCTAATATAATTATGATGTGCCTTGTTGTGTTCCTTCTTGGGTCCAACTTCTTTGGGACTCTCTGAGCTTCCTGGATTTCCTGGAAGTCTATTTTCTTTGCCAGAATGGGGAAGTTCTCTTTTATTATTTGTTCAAATAAGGTTTCCACTCGTGACTGTTCCACTTCCCCTTCTGGCACTCCTATAATTTGGATGTTGGAACATTTAAAGATGTCCCGGAGGTTCCTAAGCCTCTCCTCATTTTTTTGAATTCTTGTTTCTTTATGTTTTTCTGTTTGGTCATTTTTTCTTTCCGTCTGGTCTGCTCCCTTGATTTGAGTCCCAGTTTTCTTTCCATTACTTTTGGTTTCCTGTGCATTTCCATTCATTTCAAATAGTTTAGCCTTCATATGTTCCTCTAATTTGTGACTAAAATCAACCAGTTCTGTGAGCATCCTGATCACCAGTGTTTTGAACTGTGCATCTGAAAGTTTGGCTATTTCTTCATCACTTAGATTGATTGGCTCTGGGGCTCTGAGTTGTTCTTGAGCCATGTTTTGATCTGTTTGTGTCTGTTACCTTTGAGGAGAGGCGCCCTAGGTGTTCACCAGGGCGGGGCCACCCAGGTCATTGGTTTGTGATGCTATGTGTGGGGGCAGGGTCAGAGAAGGAGCAATGGCAGTCCTCTCCGCTCGCCCTGTCCACCTCACCGCTCGCCCCTGCCTGTTTACTTGAGCGCAAATGTGCGAGCCCGCTGCCCTGCGCTGGGGCCTGCTCGGTCTGTCTCAATGCTTGTCTCTTCACTGGTTTATTTGATCACAAATGCACTACCACGGACAGCCAGCCGGGTTTCGCCTTCCCTGGGTCCGCCCGTAGCTACCCCGCACCTGGGATCCGCGCCCTTCCTGCCAGTACGCTGCCCCGGTCGGGGGATCTTTTTTGCCCGACCCGCTCTGCTGCTGGCTTCACCCCACACTGGTTGAGCTGAACGGGTCGTTGTTTTCGGACTCCGTATTATTCGATTTTCTGTGGTTTGATTGCGTTTATTGTTGTTAAAACTTTGTTGTTTTTAGATTTGGTTGTGCGAGGAAGCCAAGTGTTTTCACCTATGCCTCCATCTTGGCAGAAGTCCTGAAATGGTCTTTTATTGCAATACTGCTTGGCCTGTGTACAATCTGGACTCAGGAGAGCACTGGTCACTGAATGGGTCTTTAAATTACTATACTGTACTGCAATTGTTGTTGTTCTGTCAAAGATCAGGGAAATGGGATGAAGTACCTTATGTACAGGTTTTTATGACTTTATATAATAAATATGCAGATGTAGGATTAAAAGGAAATAGATTGATGGCCCAGAGAAAAGGGAATTTACCTGTGGTAGACAGCAGAAGCTCAGAAGAGAGGTACTGGGAAGATCAGGATGCCATGGCTGCTGTGAGCATGGTCAGGGTTCCCACAGCCCCTTCAGCCCTGGGGGATTGTCCTCCTTACCCAGCTGAGGGAGCCAAATAAGGTGAGCCTGAACTGGTCTCTCCATCCCAAACTCGTCTGGGAGCCAAATTCGGGGGAGGACAAGCCCCTACAGGGGCAGGGCAGTATCCTTTGTGAAGACTCCCAGTGGGAGTAGGGCTAGCCCACTGCGTATTGTTAGGCATATACTCTGTTTTCTACATTAGACCTGTTAAACTGGAAAACCTCAAATCCTCTTAAAAATATTATTTATTTATTTATCTATTTATTTATTTATTTTTAGAGAGAAAGGGAAGGAGAAAGAGAGGGAGAGAAACATCAATATATGGGAAATACCTGATCGGTTGCCTCTCACATGCCCCCAAGTGAGGCTCTGGCTGACAACCCAGCCATGTGCTCCCACCAGGAATTGAACTGGTGACTCTTCGGTTCGGAGGCCAGCACTCAGTCCACTGAGTTACACCAGCTGGGGCTCAAATCCTCCTTATAGGGATTATCCTTCTAAAATGCCTGACTTAGTTACATCAATTTTTGCCACCTTCCATCCTAGTTGGGCAGACATACAAGCCTAAAAGAATATTTTACTTACAGGAGATGAGCAAGGTTGGTATTGGATAAGGCAAATGAAGAGTGTTAGAAGCAGCACAAAGAAAATCCAGATGGGACTCCCAATACCTTTAACCACACCTAACTGGGACCCTAATGGGAATGGCCTTCCTCAGAGCATTATAAGATGAGGGACTGAAGAAAGGAGTCCCTGAGCAGAAGAGTCTGAATATGGAACAGGCAGTACCACAGAGGACCCCTCTGACTTTCTGGAAAGAACCTACGAGGCCTACAGAAAATATACTGGTTTGGATCAACAAGCCCCTGAAAATATTAGAAGGGTA